TTCGCCTTTGTTGTCACCTGTTTCCAGCTCGAGAACCAGAAAAACTAGAAGGCTGAAACTTCGAGAGTATGTGTCCATGCCATGCGCGATCCTTCTGATTTCATCCGCCGCGGACACCTAGCTGCCACGTGCGGACGCTTTAAAAAAATGTGCAAAATTTTTGGCGGGAAAGCGATCTCGGGAACTACACGAGCTAAGAGACTGGAACTTTGTAGTGATACTCCCTGTGCATGTACTAGCTAAACATTTCAAATTCAGCCCCCAGTTGTGCGTGGTACTCACGTAAAGACGTCCCCTGTCTAAGTACAACTTAAATACTTCAAATTCAGCCCCAGGCTATGCGCAGTACTCAAGTAAGGGCGTATGAAAGTTTTTGCAGGAAAATTACTATCTCAGAAATCGGAAAAGCTAGAAAATTGGAATTTTAGGGGAATGTTCTCTTTCCAGCGTTCCCTGTCTTAAGTATTTTGAATTCAGTTCTGAGGTTTGCGTGGTTCTTACTTACGGGCACTTAAAAGTTTTGATGGAGAAAATTTCTCACTATTATATTGAAATTGTACATTTGTTTTATGCGAAATTTATGGTGATTTACGCTAACGACTGCAAAAGGTAGATGTAAAGCAACAACCATTCATGCATCTAGTGACCTGAGTACTTCAAGTCCGGCACAAAAACGCGTGATCGCACGGGCCCGCCCGATGCGTTCCAGCCTGGGTTCATTTTTTCAAAAGGCGAGTATTTACCGAAAAAGCGACCGAGCTTCACGCAAAAAACTGGTAATCATGTAAATGGAGGTCCATGCAGCTCTATAACGCAACACCCTCATTTCAACTGATGCCCATTTTACTGCATACCGCGAGAAGCCAAAGCACGGCCAGTATGAACCCAAATGTTGGCTGCAGCGCAGGAATTATTCCTGCTATTAGCGATCCGCGAGTTTGGTGCGAAAACGCATGGTCGCACCGGCAACCCTGATGCGTTCCAGACTTGGTTTTTTAATGATTTCCACTGGTGCGGATTTTTAAGGAAGTTTTCTTGCTGTTAGATTGGCTGCTGTGATGCATATCCCTCCTGAAATTATATTGTTTTTTTTTTTTTAGATCTTGTCATTGTGTATACGGCCAACATCAGCCAACGTGCAGCAATGCGATATTGAGCATCTGAACTGGCTGCTACACAGAGAATCGATTGTTGTGGCAAACGAAATGCAACCCGAGTTTTGTTCTGTCATTTCGAAGGTATATTGTTTCCGTCAGTTGTCAATTTTACCAAATCGGAGAGTTGCAAGCTCATATTTTTGAGCGCATCTGCGTGGGGCTGGAGCCAAATATTTGACTTCATAGTGGAAAATTAAAAAAAAAAAAACAAGTAAAGGGTTGCAAGGGTTTTACTCATTTCCAGGCGTGTCTTATCTTCTGATCGGGGATTTGACGCCATTTGGCTCACTAAAGCGTACTGCTATCCATAGAATGTATTCTGTGAGAATGATTGTTGTGCATTCGGTTTTTTTTTGCAGGAGTCGAAACAGCTTCTACGATACTGTGTAAATTATAATCTGAGCAAAAATGCAGAGGCGTCGATGCGGCAGTTGGTTTCCGGATGGCTTTCTTTTGTGAATGTTTTTGCCATATTTGCTCCTGTACCTCTGGTTCCACACGGTAACATAATTCTTACTGTATCAAAAATACCCAAAGCGCCTCACAGTCATCGCGGAACCCAAGCTTTAGTTTTCCCACGTTTCGAGGCTACTGTGCTAATTTTCCAGTGATTATAACATATCTATTATACAAGATTGGCATTCAAAATCGTGTAAAATTAACATTTATAGAGTTTAATTCGTCTATTCTAATTACAAAAGAATATATTTTTAGCGGAATTATCTTGGAAGGAGATTTTTTCTCCCAATGCGATCTCACGCTTTTCAAATAGCTGGGGTTGTTTGAAAAGAACGTATTTTACTAATAAAATGGCTGAATTTGCATACATCTCCTATAATTGTTTAAATTTTTTTGGATTAATATTTTTGATTAGGTGCAGTTTGACCAGCACTTCAGTCAGAACTCTTTTGCAGTTTGTTTTGTTAATATGAGTGAAGGTGACTGTTGAGAATAGTGCTGTTCTTTTGGGCAACTGGGAAACACTAAGTTCAATATCTTGTAAATCTTTCAGTCGTGCAGTATCAGTACATCTCAGACGCAGTGTACCTGCTGCTGAGTTATGCCTCGGGTATTGTGATGGATATGAAGCTGAGTGCAGCGGTTTCACAGTGCCTGCTCAGGTTAATAAGACCACTTACAATAAAACATACCAATTTAGAGTATTCAGTGCAAATTGAATCACTCACTACCTTTGTTTTTGTGGGATTTTGCATCTATGCAATGCAGAAACTCATACTGTCGAGAGGTTGTCTCTGTGTGTGTGTGTGTGTGTGTGTGTGTGTGTGTGTGTGTGT